ACCTCAGTGAAAGGAGTCACTGGTGTGGAGGTAATATGCTATTTTTCACAACCATTAGGCTGTAACTACTTGTTAGATCTTTCTTACGTGTCTCTGTCTTTCTGAGAGAAGATACCATCATGTATTACAACAACCATTGATATTTTCCTACTAATCGGTCCATAACTCTGTAATGTTTGTATTGTTCCTATGCTATTTTGTAAGTGGATGTATGTTTATTACTATGTGTTTCCTACAACAACCATTGAGGATAGTCAATGAATATTCAGTTGGTCACTAATGTATAGCTTTATTTTTTTTTTTAGAAACCACTTTGAAGATACCAAAGTATAGTACAACAACCATTGATAATAACTTACCACTTTTGTCTGTAACTCACTATTATTTGTCTATTTGTTTGCCTGAGAAACTATCTTGTAGATAACAATATGTAAAATAACCATTGATAATTTCCTACCACTTTGCCTGTAATTCGGTAAGCCCCCCATTACTATGTTATCCTTCTTTTACTCTTGAAAATAATAAGAAAAAATGATTAAATTTAGGAAAGTATCAGTATACAAAATCTACACACAAAAATCCATACCATTCCTATACACTAATAAACACTGAGAAAGAAATTAGGAAAATAACACCATTCACAATAGCATCAAGAAAAATTAAATACTTATGAATTAACCTAACCAAGGAAATGAAAGATTTCTACAATGACAACTACATCATTTTGAAAAAAGACATTAGGGAGGACATCAAAAAATGGGGGAAAATCCCCTGTTCCTGAATAGGCAGAACCAATATAATGAAAGTGGCCATGCTTCCAAAACTGATATACAAATTTAACACAATCCTCATCAAAATACCAACAGCAAAACGCCAACAGCATCTCTCACAGATCTAGAGAAAACAATTCTAAAATTCATGTGTAACTAGAAGAGACTCAGAATAGCAAATGCAATCTTGCATAACAAAAACAAAGTAGGAAACATCCTTGATTTGAAGTTATTCTTTTAAGTGACTATGACTAAACCAGCATGGTAATACCACAAAAACAGGGACGTGGATCAACAGAATAGGATAAAATAGAAGAAAGAGAAATAACCTGAGGCAGCTGGGTGTGGTGGTGCGTGCCTGTAATTCCAGCACTTGGGAGGCTGAGGCAAGATGATCTATGTGAGTTTAAGGCCAGCTTTGACTACCCAGTAAGACCCTGTGTCAAAAGAAAGAAAGAAAGGGGCTGGGGATTTAGCTCAGCGGCAAAGCGCCTGCCTGGCAAGCGCAAGGTTGTGAGTTCGGTTCCCGGTACCGGAGAAAAAAAACCAAAAAAAAAAAGAAAGAAAGAAAGAAAAATAGAAAGAAAGGAAGAAAGAAAAGAACTCAAGTCATATTCAGCTATTTGATCTTTGACAAAGAGCCAAAAGATATACACTGGAAGAAAACTAGCCTCTTTAATAAATGATGCTAGAAAAATTGAATATCCACATGCAGAAAGTTGAGTCTAAACCCATGTATTTCATCATGTACTAAACTAAAATTAAAATGTATCAAAGATCTAAAAGTTAAAACTGTAAAAATCTGCTGGATAGGGGCTAGGGATTTAGCTCAGCGGCAAAAGCACCTGCCTGGCAAGTGCAAGGTCGTGAGTTCGGTTCCCAGTACCGGAGAAAAACCAAAAAAAAAAAAAAAAA